TAGAAATAAAAATAAATCTTAGTTGCCCAGGACTATCAGTTTAGGCAGTGGCTCGACAAATCTTCGACCTGGAGTTTTTTCGCTTACCTGGGATAATTCGACGCGCTGATCCCGAAAATCCACCTTGCTAAGGCAAAGTGGCGAAAACCAGCATTTCCAAAGTCTCCTCATTTTGAATTTGAACGAGTGGAACAGTCCCGGTCACGGTTAAAAACGTAGAGCCGTCGCGGAACCCTATTGGTTATAGCATTGGGGCATGCCGCCTCTGACGGTGAAAGAGGAATCGCAAGCTCGCCCGAACGCGTGTAAGAATTGCTTGCGCGCAGGGTTTAGGGGCAGTTTTATAAACGGGCAGCAAGCTGTGCGTTCGGACTTGCCTGTTCTCATGTTTAAGGTGCAAGCAACCTTCCATATCAAAATTTTGAAATGTTTGTTTTTGAGCCACGGCTTTTAGGGGTTCCTAACTTGCGCAGACGATTAATCATGAAATCATCTTAACACGGTTTTCGATATGAGCAAAGTTTATGAGATTGTCAAAATTTTGTGAGGCAACAAAAAGTTGATACGTTGATTCTATCCACAACAAGTTAAAAACCGATGACAAAACAAAAGTTTTTGCTTTCTTCGTCTTCAGAGGAGATATCTACACTTGTATCGGATTGCTGAGACGTACTAGTGGATTGCTTTTCTTTATTTTTGCTTATGACGCCAGCGTTATTACTCTTTTTGGCCGATTTCAATTTACCGCCTTTTGCATCCCTTCTTTCTTCTTGCAATTTTCGGTTGGACTTTGCTGCTTCTCCACTCATAACAGCCTCCTTCTCGTGACTTGAAGCCTGTGCGAGACTGTGATTAGAAGCCGTTGTTACTTCTGATGCCTTTACCAAATCCTCTTCTTCAATATGATGTGTATTCTCCTTGCTCACAGCACTGAATTTATTGTGCAGAGATAGGTTCTCATCTGTTTTGGTACCGAACACCTCTGTCATTTCGTCTATCTCCTCGTATATGTGTTCGTCATCTAGAGAGCTTGATGAAGAAAAGCTATCCCAAATGTCCACGACATCATCTTGAGTGACAGTTCTCGTGCTGCCTTGTGTGTTAGCTAATCTTCTCTTCAAATCTTCCACAACTGCGCGAGATCTTTCTTGAACTTCGTCGCTTTTAGAAAGTGATTCTCTCGAATTGGCTTCTGTAGGATTTCCATTCCCATGTGCATGTTTTAATTCAGAACAATCCTCTTTTCCCACGAGTTTTGGAATTCTATCGCTCCGTTTCACTCTATTCTCGGATTCTGGGTTTGAAGAGCGAGGTATTTCTATAGTGCCATCATGTAAGCTGGGAGGATCGGCGTTTGTAACGTTCAAATTGCTGTTGGAATTGAATTGTTGTTGGGTCTTCTCTTCAATGAGTTGGCTAAAGCTGATGATCTTCTCTGCTACACTCGACCCCATGTCCTTCCGATTCGCTTGCGACTCTTCGCTTGATGATTTTTCCGAAAATGATGACTTCGGGATGCAACTTGCTTCAGTTTCAGTGCACTTCATCTTTTTACTTTTCTTCTCCACCAAAACTCTTTCCTCCGAAGCTTTCGCTGTTTCTGCCACTTCATGCTCGGTTTCCTGAGCTGTCTCAGCAACGGAACGGATCACTCTGGATTTACAAGCCGTTGGCGATTCTGATTTATAAGAAATATCATTGTTCTGTGCAAAATGTTTGCGATGCATGTCCATGCGAAAATCTGTGTCAGGACCAGGAAACTTGTTTGGTTCGCCTGCCTTACTCGCAGTACCCAGCCTGGCAGAAGTCGCATGTAC